ATATATATATATATGCATTATAAACAATTATATGGTAAACTGATGATATGCAGATCGAACCGATGATTTCTCCGTTATTGCCGTCTAGCACAAAAGGCGCAAATCACGCACCAGCTCATTCAGTGAATGATCGCATGATGCAGCTAATTGTGAAAGGAATGCTTTACGAAGGCTGCGTGGATTACTGCCAAGCACAGGCTGTTAATGAACAAAAAGGTAACCTTTTTCAGTACACGCTAGAGCGCAATGGTGAAGAAAAGAACAAATGGGACAAGAAAAATGAGAAAGGGAAAGCAAAATGACGACATAAGTTTTACATACATCATGATTAATATCCCTATCGATGTATTTCGTATTTGTGACCATGCAAGAAAGTAAAATTTAGGGGGGGGGGGAAGGACAGGGCTGGGGACATGTTACTCGTTTTGCCGGCAACTGGTGGATAATGCCTATTAGTAAACGGTGCTCATGGTAATGTAAGCGATCACTCAAGCAAACCCCGATGAGGTGGCGCACATACATCGAACTAACTGGAAGCATGCAGTTCAAAATCGAAAAGCAGGCATAGCTACGCTCGGCGTTAAGATAGTAAAATGACTAATACAAAAACCATTGAAAATCCAAGCGGTTTTTGTATTGTATCCTTGGCATGTATCATTAGTAAAAGTCCATTAACTTAGCGCCACAACTGGACCTCATTAGCATAGCAGCCGTAGAGAACATTTCAAGTCAGTTAAATCCCAATATTTTTTGCTTTATGAAAGCAGCATTTTTTCCACAAAGCATGGAATATTGGCTTTTAAGTGATTTAAATAGTATTTTGGCACCCGAGTATTATTATTTTGACAAAATTGTCCACTATGCTAGTAAGTTTAAAGTCAAAAGATTACTTTCCACAACAGGCAAGGACCCTGGTAGTAATTCATGTGGTAGCATGTCCACGAAAGAACAACTCAGTGACTTCTTCCTTCACGAGTTGCTTACAAACAAGTTATTGGAATGACAGACTACTTAGTAAGCTCTAGTACCAAATGATCATCGAAAACGAATGAGTGGATCGCAGAAGGAACTGGTAATTGTCCCTCGAATACTAAACCTTCTGCATGGGTGCAGCGCAATTTGCTACTAAGCCATATCCATAAATGAAGTAATAATTTATAAGAGTTAACAAGCAGTTTTACAGTTTAGTAGACCGAAATTTCATAGTCTTAGCTAAATTATTAATTTTTCATACATGCGCCACATTTCAGCCTTCAATATTTCCAATATACTTCACCATTAGCTAATGTCTACTCTTTAAAAGGTGTTAATAATTCCGCTTAAACCTAATAAATATACCAGCATCTAACTTCTTTTGAGTACTAAACTTAGGTAAAGTAAAACAGTGAATCGTTGAAAATGAGAAAAGCAATTCGAAATATGTATATTTTTAAGGCATTGAAAAAGGCGCGGCACCAACTTCGCTTCTGACCGCTCGACCGCGGTTGACGAGCACCGATTTGTCGCTTGTATCCTGGCTTGCAGCAGTCGGACGTGAGCAGTTTACGCTGCCTTTTGAACAGCGAGCTCTGGATTTGAAATTCGAAAAAGTGAAGTAAGACATATGAGTCCTATAATAAAAGTAACTTTCAAACATCTGGTATTTTTATCTTCGTCATGT